GCCAGATCTTTATCCATTCATTGATCGGTGGACATTTGGGCTCTTTCCATACTTTGGCTATTGTTGATAGTGTGGCTATAAACATTGGGGTGCGTGTGCCCCTTAGAAACAGCTTACCTGTATCCCTTGGGTAAATGCCTAGTAGTGCAATTGCTGGGTCATAGGGTAGTTCTATTTTTAGTTTTTTGAGGAACCTCCATACTGTTTGCCAGAGTGGCTGCACCAGTTTGCATTCTGCAGAAATGTTTGTTAAAACAAGTTTTCAAGCTGATATTTTTCTACTTTTATGTTCTCTTAGCTTGTTTTACTTGGTATAACAGGCCTGATTGTGGAGTTGTGACTGTCTCAGTGTTGCTGCCACCATGTTTCTATACAACTTGACCTTGCAGCGAGCCACTGGCATCAGCTTTGCCATTCATGGCAACTTCTCTGGTAAGATTTCCAGTTATTATCTTTATGAATTTAACATTTTCAATATTAACTGGTTTCATGTTTTAAATTCCTTATTTATTTATTTTTCAAATGTTTATTTTTGATGGGGGGGGAGTTTTGGGGGAGGGGCAGAGAGAGTGGGAGACAGAGGATCCAAAGTAGGCTCTGCGCTGAGAGTGGAGAACCTGACACGGGGCTTGAACTCAGAAAACATGAGCTCGTGACCTGAGCCGAAGTTGGACGCTTAACTGACTGAGCCATCCAGGTACCCCTCAAATTCCTTTTTTAAATTCAAAATTTTTTCCTGAAATATATTGTAGAAAAATTTTTCTTAAATCCTTAGACAACATCATTTATATAATGTTGATAGTCTCTAAAACAGTTTGAAGTACTTGATCTTATCCTATCCCCAAGGGACCTTTCGAAAGTAAGGTGGCCTGATAAGTGGTGTCCTTGAGCAAATGAGAATGGAGCAAACGGGATGGAAAGGAAGGCATTTAGGCGTTAGATAGTGAAGACCTGTACGAGGGCAGCAGGGACAGATATAAAGAGAAGGATATGAGTTTCTAGCCTGGGTGGCACAGAAAATTACAGTAATATTGATAACAGGTTAGTTGGGACCGGACAGGAGGTTTGGGAAGAAAGAATTTATTTATTTTATATTTTGTTTATTTATTTACTTTGAGAGAGTGTGCTTGAGTTGCAGGGTGAGGACGGGCAGAGAGAGGGAGAGAGAAAATCCCAAGCAGCCTCTGTGCTATCAGAACCTGACACAAGGACACAAGGACAGTGAGATAACGACCTGAGCTGAAATCAAGAGTCGGATGCTTAACCCGCTAAGCTATCCAGACGCCCCAGGAATTTAGTTATTTTAAACGTTCAGTTAAAAGTTGATGACAATATATCCCAATAGAATTATGTAGTAGGCAGGGAGAGATGGGTGCAAATTGGTGTTTGGAGATGTTGATTATGGTTATGAAAGCAAGGGAGCTTTCTAGGGGTGAGTTTAGAAATAAATGGTATATATTAGCAGTTTTAAAAGTTCTTTGAGGTCTGGATGGACCAGTTGGTTAAGTGTCTGACTCTTGATTTTGGCTTGGGTCATGACCCCAAGGTCGTGTGATTGAGGCCCTCATTGGGCTATGTGACAAGCATGGAGCCTGCTCAGGATTCTCCCTCTGCCCCTGTCCTCAACTTGTATGAGCTCTCTTTGGAAAAAAAAATTTTTTTTCTTTGAAACTGCTTTTGTTAAATCATACCAATTCTAGAAATGAAATTGAATAAGAAAACTTAAAATACCAAGCCCCCAACTTACTCAATTTTTTGTCTTGAGTGGCATTTTGATCCATCCAGGTACTTTTTGGACTAGTTCTGATTGTGATCTTTATTGTTTTGGTGATCTAGGAACCAAACAACAGGAAATTGTTGTTTCCCGTGGGAAGATACTGGAGCTGCTTCGTCCCGACCCCAACACTGGCAAAGTACACACTCTACTAACTGTGGAAGTATTTGGTGTTATACGGTCACTCATGGCCTTTAGGCTGACGGGTGGCACCAAAGACTACATTGTGGTTGGCAGTGACTCAGGTCGGATTGTTATCCTGGAATACCAGCCATCTAAGAATATGTTTGAGAAAATTCACCAAGAAACCTTTGGCAAGAGTGGATGCCGCCGCATTGTTCCTGGCCAGTTCTTAGCTGTGGATCCCAAGGGGCGAGCTGTTATGATTAGTGAGTGACTTGCTCTTTTGAGTGCATATCTGATTCTTACAGATGCTCAGTTTAGGATAACAATGCTGTGCTCTTGGCATTATGCCAATAAATTCCTTACCTGGGTAAAGTTTGGATCGTATTTCAGTTAATACCATGGTTTAAAGTTGCTTTTGCTTTTAAAAGAATGGGAAAAGTCTTAACATACCTTTTCTATTTCCTGTCTGGCTGGATTAGGTGTTTTTTCCATTTCTTTGTGTGTAGCCAAAAACCTATGATGAACTAAATGATTTTACATTATTAGGAGTGAATATGGTTGCTTTCATCAGCCTGAAGTGATGATTCACATTCATGTCTCTTCTCTGATAAATATCTTGAAGAAAATTATGTGTATCTGATCAGGCCTCTAGAGGGCAACCCCCCCTGACAAGTTACAATACTTTAGATCTAACTCAGAGATTAAAGCCAGCAATTTTTATGACGTTTTAGTTTCCCAGTATCATTAAATCTCGGGCATGCTAAAAAGTTTTGAAGAGTTAGTGGATATTAAGGTCTGTATTAGTAAGGAGGGGGTATAAAATGCTGTTATTTATTTTACTGTGGTAGCAAAATCTTACGCTAAATATACTTATGTTAGAGTTACGTTATATAACTTACATAGTTATGTTAGAGTTAGTGCTGGCTACTAATGATTTTAAAGGAATAATTGTGATGTGAGTCTGGCTGTTGTGTAAGCCCCTCTTCATTTTCTGGAAATTTTATTTGTTTTGTCTCCTTTATCTACAGGTGCCATTGAAAAACAGAAATTGGTATATATCTTGAACAGAGATGCTGCAGCCCGGCTTACCATTTCATCTCCCTTGGAAGCCCATAAAGCGAACACTTTAGTATATCATGTGGTTGGAGTAGATGTAGGATTTGAAAATCCAATGTTTGCTTGTCTGGAAATGGATTATGAGGTAATGGGGACTTTGAATCCTTCCTCTCCTTCTCTCCCTCCTTTCCTCCCTCCTACCACCCTGCTTTGGGTTTCTTCACTCACCTCAGTGCTTTCCTGATTGGTTTCTTCATTGTGCATGTTTTATAATTCTGCTAACAGATATTTTCTGTTTTCCAAATGTCTTACTAAGATTCTTTGATGTTTCATAGCTCACCTAACTATATAATAATACCTTACCCTGATTTGAATAGTATCCCTATAAAAATGGTATTTATTGGAAAGAGTTGTCTAAAAAAGGAAGTGAAACTGTATGTGGGATGTTTTTTGCAGGGAGGTAGTGAAAGGTGGGGCGTACCATTCTTTGCCTTGAATGGAAGGCAGTAGGGAGAACCCTTACACAGGAGACCCAGGTTCCTGTGTAAGCTCTGCCATTAACCTAGTAGTGTGAACGTTGGTAAACTGTTGTGGACCTCTGCTTCCCCATTTGTAGATGGAGGAATCCTGATGCCATGTTTGTGCTCATGTACTTCTCTATAGGAAGCAGACAATGATCCCACAGGGGAAGCAGCAGCTAATACCCAGCAGACGCTTACTTTCTATGAGTTAGACCTTGGTTTAAATCATGTGGTCCGAAAATACAGTGAACCTTTGGAGGAACATGGCAACTTTCTTATTACAGGTATTTTTGTCTCCGAGCTTCTCTGTACCTTTTTGCTTAGCACATTTTATGTACAAACTTAGGGGAATTTACTTAATGTAAGGGTTTGGAAACTGTAATTCATTTGTAATAAGTCTAAGTGCCTTGTCTCTGTTTTGGCGAGGTTAAAAGTTCAGAGTGGTTGACTCTTCTAATGGGGGTAAGGAAGAAAGGATGAGACAGCCCTCAGCCTGGAATATCGACTACTGTTAGGTGTGCTGATATTTTTGCTGTAGGTAGTCTTTCGCTCATTAAGAAAATTAAAACCTAATTCTTTGAAAAGACAAATGGACGAATCCAACAAGTTAAAATTGTATGTATGTGCATGAATTTGAAAACTTAGGTGAAACAGGAATATTTTTGAAAACAGTTACCAAATTGACCCAAGAAGAAATTAAGACACTTGAATAGACCATCCGTTAAAGAAATTGGAGCAGTTGTCAAAGATCTTCCCCAAAAGATTTAAGGTCCAGAATTTTCAGGGACCTTAAATTTCTCCAGAGATTAGGAAAAAAAGAAACATTTGTATCACTCTATGAGCCTAAATATAACAAATACCAAAACTTGGGAAGGACAATAACAAAAAAAAACTATATGCTAGTTATAAATGCCAAAACCTAAGATTGTAGTAAATTGAAGTATGTGTTTTAAATGCATCATAGCTAAGTAAGATTTTTGTAGGAGTTCAGAGATACTCTGTTAGAAAATTAGTATCAGGGGTGCCTGGCTGGCTCTGTCAGTGGAGCTCTTGATCTCGAGAGTTGTAAGTTTCAGTCCCATGTTGGGTGTAGACATTACTTAAAAATAAAATCTTAAAAAAAAAAAAGAAAACATCAGTGTACCTTTAATTCATTATATTAAAAGACTAAAGGAAACGACTATTTTTGTGGTCAGCTAAGTTTCAGTAGGCTTGGGAAAGATCGTCATCCCACTCCTTTATGTTTTGAGTCATTTGCACTTGGCTTGATGTCTAATGTGATATATGTCTGTTGTTGGGGGAGGATTTTGGAGAATAATACAACATAGCACTTGTCTTTGAGCATTAAATCTTAGAGAGTATATGTTAAACAGAAGAACCTTGGAAAATAGATTATGCATCTCATTACGTGCTGTAACATTACCATGTTTTTTTGACAAGGGTTTGATTTGTTCAACAATGTTTTATTGAGTCTCTACAATCAATATGTGCGTAGTCTGTCTACTGGGACCTGGGACTGCAGTGGTGAAAAATTAGATGCGTTGTCTCCTTTATGCAAAATCGAGTTTAGTGAATATGTGTAACTAACAAAAAAATTGCCCGAGTATTTGCCAAATGCCAAGACAGGGTTGAGGAGAGAGAGGTCTCTAAACCAAGGAAAGAAAAGGAGTGTGTTAGAGAAATCTTCCTAGAGAAGTGCCCTCTGTGCTGAGACCTGAGGATTAGTTAGGAGTTAGCTAGGTATGAGGAAGGAGTTTCTGATGTGGACAAGATGCACAAAGGCCCACGTGCAGCAAAGAACATGGTTCATTCAAAAAACTGGAAGCTCATTGTGATTAGAGGTAGAGGTAGTTAGTGGTGGGGAGGTACCTACTAAGGATTTTATTTTATTTTTGTTTATTTGTTTATTTTTTAATGTTTTATTTTTTTAAGAAAGAGAGTGAGTGGGGGGAGGGACAGAGGATCCAAAGCAGGCTCTGTGCTGACAGGCTGACAGCAGCAAGCCCGATGAGGGGCTCAAACTCGCGAACTGTGAGATCACGACCTGAGCCAAAGTTGGACGCTCAACTGACTGAGCCAATCAGGTGCCCCTTATTTTATTTATTTTTGTGCTACTGAAGGATTTAAAGCCGGGGAATAATAACCTGTTAAAGGTGAGCATTTTGGAAAGATAACTTGCTGATGTTTTGGCTAATCAAATGGAGGATAAGACCGTAAGCTACATTAGGAAGCTGTTTCACTAACCCGAGAGATCGACAGCATGAGCAGCATGAACACTGCTAAGGAGGTAGAATCAATAGAGCTGTGGTTGGGAGAAAATGGAAGGGTGATGCCCAGGTTTCTGGTTCTATTGGTCAATAGTGGTATTCTCTTGAGATGGAGAACCCAGGAGGTGGAACAGATTTGGGAAGGAATGCGAGTTTGTTTATGAATACGATGCATTTTTAAGCTGTTGTGGAATATCCATGGAAGAGTATACAGTTGGATTATAGGTCTGAAGATGAGAACTGAGTTTTGGCCTCCAAGCAAAAAATTTTAGATGCATTATCTGATACCTGGACAGGCTGAGATTGTCGAAACTGTGCTCCCTCCTTGTCTTAGGCTAGTATCAGGGAAAACAAACCATTGAATGTTTCTCAGTCTCAGCTACTTGTACCTTCATCTGAGATGTGCTGAAGGAGAGAAGGAATTGAAAACGAAATTATAATTTGTGGTTATGTTAAATCATTCCTAAGTTCTGTTTTCTTCTGATAGTTCCCGGAGGGTCAGATGGTCCAAGTGGAGTGCTGATCTGCTCTGAAAACTATATCACCTATAAGAACTTTGGTGACCAACCAGATATCCGCTGTCCAATTCCCAGGAGACGGGTAAAAATTTTTGCCATAGGATAAGATATTTGTGTTTGTGAAATGAATTTATTTTTTATAATTATAGTATAATCTTTTAGTTTATGTGTTAATCAAGTTTTAGTTTCTCTGTAAATCCTTTTTTTTCCCCCCCAGTGTCTGTTTTTGAGAGAGACGGAGAGGGACAGCGCTAGCAGGGTAGGGCAGAGAGGGAGGGAGACCCAGAATCTGAAGCAGACTCCAGGCTCTGAGCTGTCAGCACAGAGCCCGATACGGGGCTGGAATCCACAAACTGAAATCATAACTTGAGCCGAAGTTGGACGCTCAACTGACTGAGGCATTCAGGTGCCCCTGTAAATCTTATTTTTAGTAAAGCTGGTAAAGTATTTTAGTAAAAGCAAAACAAATTCTTTGAGAAAAGGAATTAAAAACACAGTTTCTAGGGGCGCCTGGGTGGGTCAGTTGGTTGAGCGTCTGCCTTTGGCTCAGGTCATGATTTCACAGTTCGTGAATTCAGGCCCCACATCGGGCTCTATGCTGTCAGTGCAGAGCCTGCTTTGGATCCTCTGTCCCCTTCTCTCTCTCCCCATCTCTTGCTCTCTGTCTCTCTTCAAAAATAAATAAACATTAAAAAAAAAATTAAAAACATAAAAAACACAGTTTCTATTTCAGAACAGTCTGGATGTTATCAGTTTGAAATTCTTGCAAATTTCTGGTTTGAAGACGCCAGACATATTTATCGGAAATAGATTGTTTTCCATTGCTTGTCTTTTTTCCTTGCGTTCCAACAGAGGAAATTTCAAAGAATAGAACAGTGAATCTCTGCTTTTTATGTAGAGGAAAAAGATTCCCCAATTTAAAATTATACTATATTTAGCTTTTCTTTCGTATGATACAGCTACTACATACTTCCTAAAACTAACAATTTAATAAGTTGCAGTCGTCGTGACACTTTAAGAATCTCCTAAGATGTAGTTCCTAAAAACAAATTTTGCCACATAACCACACTACCAAGGTCATGCTCAAGAATTACTATTTTGTGTAATACAGTTATGTAGAGTTCATATGCTTATTTCTCTCATTGTCCACAAAAGTTCCCTTGTATCTACCTTTACTGTCTTTTAGGTTATTTTGCCTCACCTTTGTTTGCTTTTAATCTTTTATTATATTGACATTTTTTTAAGAGTCTAGGCTAATTTTCTTGAAGTTTGTCTCATCTTTTTCTGTATGGTTAGATCCTTGTTAATATTTTTGATAGAATTATTACATAAGCAGTGACACATTTCCCACTATATCACATTAGGGGCACATAATGTTAGTTTGACTCCTTGGTGATGTTAAATTGATCACTTTAAGGTAGTGTCCATCTGGGCTTCTTAATTGTGAAGGTACCTTTTCCTTTTTGTAGTTGGTGTGGAATCTGCTGGTGAATTTTGAGACTGTAAATATTCTTTTCCCCAGCATCTTTTCACACAATGCTTTTCCTCTCAGGTCAGTTACTACATTGGTGGTTGAAAATGGTGTTTTATTAATTTTATTTATTTATTAAAATGTTTATTTTGAGAGAGAGAGTGAGCAGGGGAGGGGCAGAGAGAGAGAATCCCAAGCAGGCTTCATGCTCAGCACGGAGCCTGATGCAGGGCTCCCAAGACCCTGGGATCATGACCTGACTTGAAATCAAGAGTCTGATGCTCAACTGACTGATCCACCCAGGCGCCCCAAGCGGAGTGGATTGTGGAGCCTGCTTGGGATTCTCTCTTTTCTCTCATTCACTCTCTCCCTCGTGACCTCTCCCCTGCTTGCTCTTTTGCTTTCTCTAAAAAAAGAAAAAGGAGTTGGACACTTAACCAACCGGGCCACCCAGGCATCCTGAAAATGGTGTTTTACTGATTTTAATCTCAGTAGTTTACTGTGGAAATTATTAATTACTAAGTATATGCACAAGTAAAGTGTAATGAACTTCTGTGTATCCAGCTTCAGCTAATTTTGTTTGATCTTTGCTTTCTCAAGCTCTTCTTTCACCCCTGGTTTTATATCTTTTTGATATATTTTTAAAATTAACATTTTTTAAATTTATATCCAAATTAGCATATAACTTTTTGACATTAATTTATAGGACCTGGGATTAAGCCTTTTAGGTCTTAGTTGATCTGATATATGATACCTGAGTAGGAGTCCATAAATCTTAGAAAATCTGAGAAGAAATCTATCAAGATAAATTATTGGTAAGGGGTGGTGAGTAATTTGATTTGGTTGATGAGACATTTGTTGAGCACTTAACTGCTAGGCACTGTACTTGGGTTTGGGACTGCAAAGAAGTATAAAACATGTTTTGCCCTTGAACAGCTGACTCAGTGAGGGAAATAGAAAATGTTGGAAACATGAAAAAAAAATCTAAAATCATAGTCAAGGAGCTGCCTTAGGAAGTTGGTGTAGAATAGTGCTGAGTGGACATGTAGGAGATTTCTTCATAGCCTAAAATGATGACTCTTTAAATTTCATGTCTTTTTTCTGACATTTTTCTCTGGAGAAAGTTCTTGATGTTGCTCATTTATTCAGGATGTAGAGTGAAATTGTGGCTGCTTTTTTGTACAGAGGCTTTGTCATATATTTATAGTAGATAAGAATTTTTAGCTATTGTGTTTTACTTTTTGGCTGGCAGGCTGTTCTGGGTCAAAGCTTGTGTAGAGAGGCTCCAGGTACCTGTAGACGTTGAGTGGCCTGTATTACGGTAAGGTGCTAAATTCCCTATATAAGAAGTACTCATTTCTAAGTTGTTGGTTCTGTGTTTGACTTTGCTAGAATGACCTGGATGACCCTGAAAGAGGAATGATTTTTGTCTGCTCTGCCACCCATAAGACCAAATCGATGTTCTTCTTTTTGGCCCAAACTGAGCAGGGAGATATCTTCAAGATCACTTTGGAGACAGATGAAGATATGGTAAGCAGATCATGGAGGGAGAAGGAAAAAATGAAAAAATCCTTTTGCTAGGTTTAGTTTATTTAAAAAAATGTTTTTTAATGTTTATTTTTTATTTTTATTTTTTTAACATTTATTTTTGAGAGACAGAGCACACAAGTGGGGGGGGGGGCAGAGAGACAAATAGACATGGAATCTGAAGCAGGCTCCAGGCTCTGAGCTGTTAGCACAGAGCCCAGTGTGGGGCTGGAACCCACAAACCGCGAGATCATGACCTGAGCTGAAGTCGGAGGCTTAACTGACTGAGCCACCACCCAAGCACCCCTTTTAATGTTTAATTTTTGAGACCGCGTGAGAGCATGTGTGTAACAGTGTGAGTGGGGGAGGGCAGAGGGAGAGAGCGAGAGAGAGGGAGGGAGACACAGAATCTCAAATAGGCTCCAGGCCCTGAGCTGTCAGCACAGAGCCCAACACAGGACTCGAACCCCTGAACCGTGAGATCGTGACCTGAGCCGAAGTTGGACGCTTAACCAATTGAACCATCTAGGTGCCCCTTGCTACGCTAATTTTAATATATTTAAATAACCTTATTTCAAAAAGTGATATTTAAAGAAAAATTTTTTTAGGTTTATTTATTTTTGTAGAGGGGAAGGGGTAGAGAGGGAGAGAGAGAATCCTAAGCAGCCTCTGCCAGTGCAGAGCCTGATGCAGGGCTTGAACCCACAAACTGACATTACCACCTGAGTCAAAATGAAGAGTCAGATACTTTTTTTTTTTTTTTAATATATGAAATTTATTGTCAAATTGGTTTCCATACAACACCCAGTGCTCATCCCAAAAGGTGCCCTCCTCAATACCCATCACCCACCCTCCCCTCCCTCCCACCCCCCATCAACCCTCAGTTTGTTCTCAGTTTTTAACAGTCGAAGAGTCAGATACTTAACTGACTGAGCCAGGCAGGTGCCCCTGAAAAACTGATATTTCTGTGTACATTTAAGGTTTACACAGTGTTTTTATGAACTATTTGTTCTTTAATACTACTTTGAGATAGGACAAATAATACTTTACACGTTAATAAAATGGAAACAGAATGACTTAAAAAGTGGTTGTGTAAGGTATCAAAGCTTTTTAAATTTGGATTGGGTATATGAATGTAGGTTTTCTCCTCTAGTTAACAGATACCTGGTCTCGTAATCTCAAATAATATGAGATCAAGTAATGCCACTTCTAGTGAGTAATGAGAACGCTCTCCCTGTCTCCTGAAAATTGGTAATACACATGAACTGTTATTGTTTTTATCCTATGGCAGAGTTCTGTGAACAGCTGTGCAGTTTTTTATATATGTTTAGCTCAGGAATTGGCATATTTTGTTGTAGAGGCCCAGTAGTAAACATCATCAGCTTATATGGGCCACGTAGTCTCTGTCTCAACAACTCAACCCTGCCATTGTGGCACAGAAGCATTCATAGGAAGTGTGTAAATAGGCATGGCTGGTCCTGGGCCTTAGTTTGCTAACCCCTGGTTTAGATACTAAGTATGATATTTTACTTGCTACTCTGCTTATGCTATCTTACAATACTGGGCTACCTTCTGTGGCCTAGCTTCGCTTGCCTACACAGTAGAATCTCTTTTTTTTCCATTCCAGGTTACTGAGATTCGGCTCAAGTATTTTGATACTGTGCCTGTTGCTGCTGCCATGTGTGTGCTTAAAACAGGCTTCCTTTTTGTAGCATCAGAATTTGGAAATCAGTGAGTAATCTTTTTATTACCCTAGTTTATCCTGGTTACTATAAAAGTTGGGAGGAGGGAGATGTGGCTTCAAGGGCACAGAGCTTTCTACAAAACTTTCTTCAAAAGTTTTGCCTTCCTTTTCCCCCTTTATGTTCTTTTTTAATTTTAATTTTTATTTATTATTATTTTTTTTGGTTATTTTCCCCACTTCAGTTGCTTCCTTTAAGCAGTACCTGTTGGTAGCTGCAAAAATAGCTTCAGGAGTGATCTTTTCTGAGCTTTTTGCTGGACATTTCACTGAATATTTATGGAACTAACTTAACATGTCCCGCCAGTACTTCACTTGTACAAATCTAAAGTTGAAGCTCATCATTACCCACAGCTGCTCAGCCACATCAGTGACCTTCCCAGCCTCGGTTTTCTGTTAATGACTAATGGACCAGTTGTAGCAACTTGAGTGTAAAAATCTCAATTTTTGTAGTTTATAGTCTAAACTAGTTCACTAGTTTACTTACTACATTTTATTGTCTTTCCTGTAAAACTTCAGCCTTTGCAGTCATTAAGCAGCTAAGACATAACCCTGATGAAATCCTTTCCCTTATTCCTGTGTTATAATGTTTGATGACTTTTTATTGCCAAGTGGATAAAGTCTGAGCTCTAGCCTTGAATTTAAAGCCAGTCAGTATCTAAGTCTCCAAATTACTTACACAAGATAAGATACCATGGTTTGGCCAGTATCTGCTCACAGCATCAGTGCAAACCACTTACCTGATGCTATTTGCTTGTAATTAAAATGAAGGTGTATCTAGGATTCTAGGATTCTGTGCCATTTCACCCTTGTCTCTGACTGTTCTTCCTTTCTTAGACATGCTTCTTACTTATACTCACGGACTTTATTCCAGCTGTTGATTAACTCACTTTCCTTGTTTATACCTCTTGTATCACTTTTCATATTTAGCCTGTTTGGTGTATTTTCATCCACTTAAATCCCACTTTTCCAGAATAATAGTAATTCCTTGATATAATCAAATAGCTAGTCAATATTTAAATTTCTCCATTGTCTCAATATTTTTTAGTATTTTTTTAATGTTTATTTATTTTGAGAGAGAAGGAGCATGAGTGCGGGGGGGAGGGGGGAGAGAGAGAGAGAATCCTAAGCTGGCTCAGCACTGTTAGCACAGAGTCCGAAGCAGGGCTTGAAATCACGAGCTGTGAGATTATGACCTGAGCCTGAATCAAGAGTCAGACACTTAACCAAGTGAGCCACCCCAGGTGCCCCCCATGCCTCAATATTTTAAAAGTTGAATCGTATACACTAGGATTGAGCAAGGCCCATACATTGCAATTGGTACATGGAAAACATTTTTAGTGGCTGCATATTTTAAGGCCATGCCCCGTATTGGTATTTAGGTTTGTACTTTTGCTATCATAAATAGTGCTGTAGTGAACATTGTAGTTGTATCTTTGTGTGTTAGCTGAATGCAACCATAGTTTAAATTCATAAGTGTGGGATGAAATTTTGATAATGCTAAATTGTCCTCACAAAGGGGACATCAGTTTACATTTCCACCAACAGTGTATATGACAGACTTTTTTATTTATTTATTTTTTCTTACTGCATGACAGTTCATAAGCTCTTGAAAATCCCTGAGAAGAAGACTAGTAGTTCGATCAGTAGAAAATGGGCACAGGATTTGAACATGCCTTTACAGTAAAAAAAAATACGCGTGGTCTAGAAGTACAATATGTAGGAAGATTTCAAACTCATTTGTAATTGAAGGAACGCCAATCATATTTGAAGTCTTTTTCTCACCTAGCAGATTGGCAGACGTTAAAAACTTAGATAGTAATTTGTCTTGATAAGATTGTGGATGGAAATAATAGTTGGATGCAGAAGGTATTATTTTCTTGCCCCATTACCTTATGCAGATAGTGTGTTTGCTAAGGGTATATATCCTGATTGTCTATTAATTGGATTTAGGGAGGCTCCTGGATGGCTCAGCTGGTTAAGCCCAACTTTTGCTCAGGTCACGATCTCATGGCTCATGAGTTTGCCCCCCCTGCCCCCCATGTCCGCCTCTGTGCCAAAAGCTCAGAGCCTGGATCCTGCTTTGGATTCTGTGTATCCCTCTCTGTTCCTCCCCCGCTCGCTCTCTCTCTGTCTCTCTCAAAAATAAACATTAAAAAAAAAAAAAAAAGATTTAGGAATAATACAGTGATTCTTTTTATTCTGAAGAATGGTATTTAAAATTTATCCAGCACTTGTCTGTATATATCAGGCACTGTTCTAAATTGTTTTTCTTAATGTCTTGGTTTGAGTTCTCCTGCAAGCAGAGCCTTAGACAAAGACATGGGTGCAGGTAGATTATTGGGGAGCAATTGCAGGAAACAGGAGCTAAGGGATCAGTGGAGAGAGAGGGAAAGAGGAAAAGCCTACATAAGAGTGTGTTACTGAGATTCCTGTTGTGGGCAGTAGGAACTTGCTCCCATCAAGACCTGCTCCCATCAGACAAGCAGAATGCATCTGAGAATTGCTCACCTGAAGGTTAACAGCAATACCATTTTTCTCTTCGGGTCTGAAATTCAGTCACCTCTTGGGGCAGAGAGTGGAAAGATGGCAGTGTACAAGTAGATGCTTGTTAGAGTGAGATGCATTTGAGCTTGTGAGAAATTATCCATTGCTGCTGGAGCTGAAGTCTGCAACACTCAAAAAATGCTGATTTGGGGTATCAGAAACATGTGCTATGGGTATTAATCATAAAGCAGCCTATTTATCAAACAGTATTTACTGTGTTCTAAATAAGCACTTTGTAAATGTTAATACAGTACATAACTTTTCCAGTGAGACCGTGCCATTATCCCATTTATACTTTGGGGAACTGGGTCACAGAATTTGTCAGATTTGTGAATTTGTGAAAGAAATTGATCACATACCTAAGTCCCAGATGATCTGATTCCAGAGTTCCTGCTCTAAAGCACAACACCATAGTTACAGAAGCTGCTTTGCCAAGATTTGGCCAAAGCAGCCTTTTCCTGTGATGGAGGTAGTGAGCCCATCCTTCTGGTTACCTGGTAATTACTAGGCACTGAAGGTATCTTTGACAAGTGGCTTTCATTATCTGTGTATACACATCTTGCTTGAGGAAGGAATTTATATTAACTTTTATATGTTTATCTTATATTCTCAGTGCTTTTGTAGATTGTTCAAGGATAATAACCCTGTTTGGTTTTTTTTAAATTTAGTATAGAATCTGATGTGTTTACCAAAAGTGTTTAAATGCTGAGGTTTATTTGAACATTTCTTGAGTACCTTATATATTTCAGATGCTGATTTAGTCATTTTATCTTCTAAAAAGCTACGCTTGATACTGTTTTTTTTTGTTTTTTTTTTTAACATTTGTTTATTTTTGAGAGAGAGAGAGAGACAAGCATGAAAGCAGGGGAGTGGGGACAGAGTAGAGAGGGGAGACAGAAGTGGGCGGGCTCCAGGCTCTTGAGCTGTCAGCACAGATCCTGATGTGGGGCTCGAACTCACAAACCGCGAGGTTCTGGTCGAAGTCGATCTTTGACATTCGATCGAGCCACCCAGGTCCTCCCTTGATATTATTGTTTTCAATGCAGAGACTGATGAAGCATGGTCCGGATTAGCATGAATTGCACGTTCAGAGTCATGTCGTGAGTTTGACAGCAGTTCGCCTGGGCTGATGGCTCGAGACCTGGAGCAAACGTTCCGATCTGTGTCTCCTCCTGCTCCTGCTCGCCGTTCTCTCTGTCAATAAATAAATAAGCTTGAAAAAAAAAGTAGCTCTGTATTGAAGGTCTGGTATATTAACACATACCAACATTCGTTTTTTTTAAATTGAGTTTCTTCCCAAAGCTAGAGCACTCAGCATATGATGGTATATTTTTTTTAAGTAAGTTTTACACCCAACATGGGGCTTGAACTCACGCGATTGCAGATATGCATGCTCTACTCTAGACCAACCAGGCACTTCTTTGACTTCACAGTCTTTATTCTTCTTTACACCATTCTAGTTTTTTTTTTTTTTAGTTTTTTAAAATTTTTTTATTTATTTTTTTGGAAAAAGCTTCGAAAAGTGAGCAGGAAGGGCGAGGAGAAGAGAGAGAGAATCCCAAGCAGGTTCCATGCTGTCAGCACGAGCCTAATATGGGGCTTGAACTTATGAACTGTGAAATCATGACCTGAGATGAAACCAAGAGTCAGATGTAGCTGAATTGCCCAGCCACCCAGACACCTTTAATTTTTTTTTTTTTTTAATGATTATTTTCGAGAGAGAGATGGAACGTGAGCTGGGGAGGGGCAGAGAGAGAGGGAGACAGAGTCTCTGAAGCAGGCTCCAGGCTCTGAGCTGTCAGCATAGAGTCTGACATGGGGCTTAGACTCAAGAACAGCGAGATCACAACCTGAGTCACCTAAGTGCCCCTATCCCATTCTCTTCTAAGAAAGAAGACCCCACTCAAACAGATGCTGACTCGATGTGCATGTTAGAATTTTGATAGGTAATTGTAAAGTGCTTTGTGAGGATTATATTTATGGCAAACACTATCTTTAGAAAGTGTTTAACTAAAGTCTTCTTTTCTTCTCCCTAGTTACTTATATCAAATTGCACATCTTGGAGATGATGATGAAGAGCCTGAGTTTTCATCTGCCATGCCTCTGGAAGAAGGAGACACGTTCTTCTTCCAGCCAAGACCACTTAAAAACCTTGTGCTGGTCGATGAGTTGGACAGCCTCTCTCCCATTTTGTTTTGCCAGGTGTGGGTCTTTCCAGTCTCTTCCACAATGAGCAGTGCCAGCCAGATGTTTCTGAATATGAATGAGTTTAAGGTTTTGGTTTTT